TCTCAGGGTTCCCACTTGCCATTGCAAGGTGACCACACCCTAGGTTAGCAGGAGGGAAGCAAGATCAGCAATGGCTAGTGCAATAGTCTGAACAAGCCATGCTGGGAGTGGCAGTGGGGGATGGTGAAAAGTGGCCAGATCTGAGGTAAAAAAACAAGGGATTGAGTAGGCGGGCTAGAGGAAGAAAGGAGTCAAGGACAATCCCATGGNGACAGAGAGGAGGCCTGTTCGTCTGCATCCCGGCTACACCGCACGCTCCCTGCTTCCCCTCTCCCCGAACCTTTGCTCTTCTGCAAAGTCCTTACCTGTATTAGGCCATTCATTCATTCAACTATTAACTCAGTGTGCAGTTTCTGCTGTGGCTGGAGACCTATTTCCCCCCAATCGCTCTCCATGTCCCCGTGTACCTCTGAAACTTTTCTTCCCACTTTCCTCATCCTTCATTCTCCCATTTGCTGTTCCTCAAAAGTTCCAGGCACAGTTCAGCCTCAGGGCCTTGGCATTGGCCTTTCCTTCTTCTAGGAACACTTGCCCTCAGTTACCTGCATGGTTTCTTCCCTCACTTCCTTCACATGTGCATTCAGATGTCACCTGCTCATAGAACCTCCTCATTGACATTGCACCACCTACCTATTTTCTTGGTTGGAGCCTGGGTTTGCCTCCCCCTGTCCCCAACCAGCTTGGGACAGCAAAGACCTGGCTCCTTTGGTTCAACACTGTCTCTCCCTGCCTGCAATGCTGCCTGGTGCACAAGTGGACATTAGTTGAATGAAGGAGTGACCTGACCATGGCTTTCTCAGGGTTCCCACTTGCCATTGCAAGGTGACCACACCCTAGGTTAGCAGGAGGGAAGCAGGATCAGCAATGGCTAGTGCAATAGTCTGAACAAGCCATGCTGGGAGTGGCAGTGGGGGATGGTGAAAAGTGGCCAGATCTGAGGTAAAAAACAAGGGATTGAGTAGGCGGGCTAGAGGAAGAAAGGAGTCAAGGACAATCCCATGGCACTGGGCCTGAGCAGGGCTGGACACTGGGCCAGTCTCAGGGGAGGAGTGGCTTTGGTTGTAGGCAATGACAATGGCTCACGTGGAATTCCCAGAGGTTCTTGTGCTGGCCCATCAGATCCTCCAGTTGTTCTTCAACATCCAACCTGGGGGTTGATACCCAGGAATGAGAGAACACAGGCTAGCCCTGACACCCAGCCCAACCAGCTCTGAGGCTCCTCATGCACAGTCTTTCACATCCTTGCCTGGTGCTCTCTCTGCTGGGAGCCCCTTCAGGGGTTTTATCCTCCAAGCCTTGGTTCTAACAGTTTACTCTTCCAACAAACTCTCCTTGATGTAAGCCCCACTCCCACTCTCCACCCAGTGGTCGGGCAGGCCCCCAGGTTGGGAGTTACCCCAGCTTCCTCTGCTTGCAATTCTCTGCGATCTGAGAGTTATGGACAGAAATTTGCTCCACGCACTCCTGCAACATGTGCTTCCTGGGAAAGGAAAGACAAGCCTCAGTCATACTCTTGGAATGAACCCCGCTTCCTCTAGCAGGGGTGAGTGTGAGGGGTGGGGTCTGTTAACAACATTCACCCTTCTCCTTTCTTCTGTTGAATGTGACCCTTTATGGGCCTCTGTCAAGACCATCATCCGGTCCATCCTGTCCACCACTGAACTGGCCTTCCCAAGAAAGCTTTGTGAGGGGTGCAGTCGCTTAGCATCATGGATTCCAAAAGTCATGGCTTGAAGCTTGGATCTGCTACTTCACTGTGACCCTGGTCAAGTTACTTAAACTCTCTGGGTCTCAGTTTCCACATATGTAAAATGGTCATAGTGGTGGGAGGGTGACATTAACCCTTAACTCCTGTAATTGTCATTGTGAGGATTAGGTAAATAAATGAACATAAATGCTCATTGGACAGTGTGTGTAGTGTGGTTAAGCATACACTCACATTAACTATCTATCAGGTTTCCCCATGCAATTAAAGTCATGGTGCAATAGTACGTGACATCTCTGGTCACAGGAATGTGGTAAGTAAAGGTTCACAGGATGTAGACATGGACGGATAGATGGTTGAATGGGCAGTTAATTGGATGGATGAGTGGCTGGCTGGAGAGATGATAGCTGGTTAGAGAAATAATGATGATGGTTGGATAAAGAAATAAAGAAAGAATTGCTGGGAGGATGGATAGATGTCTGGATGGATGGTTGGGTGAAGAAATTAATGGCTAGATGAATGGAAGGATGAAGAGAGGATAAATGCATGGTTGGATGAATGGAAGATGATTAGATGGAAATTTGGAGATACGATGGCTCATGGTTGTCTGGCTGGATAGTTGGATAGATGTATAGGTGGATGAACAGATGAGTGGGTGAGTGGGTAGATGGGTAGGTAGATGGTTGGGAAGGTAAATGGATGACTGAGGGCCTAAAATAAGCAGACAGATAAACAAATGAATGGATGGCAGAGGAACTGGATGGCCAACAGAGAAAGACTTAGAATGTAACAGCAATGAACGGAATTTCTTTGATAAATTAGCATTAAATGGTTAAACAAGTGAGTTAATCTTAACATCACCACCTAATATCAAAGACGACCAGGGCAGTCTTTTGTCTGGTTACTCTATTTTATAGAAAGAGAAAATGAAGAGTGGTATCCAAGATTTTTTTCCCTGAGCTCGCTCCCTCCTCCTTCAGGCTGGGGAATGAGATGGGAAAGAGCCAGAGCAGGACCTCTTACTTGTGATCCTCACTTTCCTTCTTTTGGCAGTACAGCTGGAGGATCCTCAGTGCCTCTGTCGGGAGAAGAACCAAGGGGGCCTTGTGAGAGCTTGGGGAGTCAGGCTTGGGCAGAGGTAATGGGCCCGACATTATGTCAGGCATTGGAGAGCACTGAGAGGTCTTGGGTGCTTACTTCAAGTGAGGAGGCAACCAAGGGAGAGATGTGAACAGAGAGGGAAGCACTCTAACTCAGGTTTCAGTGGGATTCCTCTGGCTGCTCCAGATACTTTGGACTTTTGTGGGGTAGCGGGGTAGGATAAGGAATACACAGCAACTGGCAAATACCTTGCTTTTTTCTCAAGACCTCCTCCAGGTGCACTTTTTCTTCATTCACTGGAAAACACAATGACACTTTCAGCCCCCAGGAGCCACATCCTGTGCCCCACTGCAACTTCATGCAAGGGGCAAAGCCACACAGAAGGTGTGGTACAGTTCCAGGAGAGGCGAGGTGTCTTGTTGCCACCCCCACACCCATCTACCACGGGGACTTTCCTAATCCACCTTCTCCTACTCTGTGCTCACATTTCCTGTGTCAAAGGAGTGAAGACTGTAAAGAATGTACCATAAGGAATGGACACTGAGGGGAGAGATGACTACAAAGAGATAAATACACCATGTCAGGAGGAAATAAAGGCTCTGAAGAAACAAATCAAGTAGGAGAATGAGAGAGAGAGGTTGGGATTCTACTTTCAGATGGGACCACCTGACAGGAAGTCCTGTCAGGGTGAAGTTGAGTTGCGAACTGAAAGATGACATGAGATGGCAAGAGGCAATCTGGCCTATGTGAGCTGAAAGCACTGCAGGCAAAGGAACAGCCTGTGCAAGTGCCCTGAGGTGTGCGCAGGAACAGCAGCAGTGATCGTGGGATCTCTGGGTCCTTCTTTGGGCCCCACTTACAGGAGTCTAATTCTCTGTGCAGAGCTTCCCAGAGAGCTTGGTCCTCTCCCAGTTTCTCACCGGATTCCTCCTTTGCTGGGCCTAAGAAGGAAAGAAGACCCTGTGTGAGTGGAGCCTCTAGCCTTGTTCTTTTGAAGACTGTGACTCTGCACAATCATCTTCAAACAGCCCCAGAGGGGCCTGGATTTTATGAATGAGGAAATGGAGGCATTCATAGTTCAGGCCCTTCCTGCTGACCACAGCTGGCCAGTCTAGGCTCCCAAGTTTACCTTGCTGAAGCTCATTAATCCGGTTAATCAGCTCCTCAATCTGTGGCTCCAGGCTTCCTTCTGAAGAAAGAAAGAAAGATTGAGCCAGAGAAGACAGATGCCTTACTGTCCAAGGCAGATGGAGGAGTGGTATGTTCTGGCACTGTCTCTGCTGCTGTAAATCAGCAGGTATTTATTAAGCACCTGCTGTGTGTTGGACTCTGTAAGAAGCCCTTGCAGGGCTTGCAGACTGGGTGGGGGAGGTGGACATTGAACAGAGATATACAAATCAATCCAGATGGCAATAACTGCTGTGAAGAGAAATCAAGTGAGGCAAAGATGCTGAAGATAAAAAGGTAAAAGGTACTTCTTGAAATACAGAAAGGACCCCCATCAAGTGAGAGAAGCAGGCGCTGCAGTTCCATAGGGGTGGAAAGTGTGGAAGTGAGACCATTCCAGGCAGACAGTACAAGTTCCCTGTAATGGGAGTGGGTGAGGCATGAGGCATGAGACCAAAGTAATGGTGAGGAGCTGGTGTGGCTCTATTCTAGTGAGGAAGTGGAGAGTAGCAGGAGGTGAGGTGTGGGAGGGGGAAGTGAAATCACTCAGGGCCTCTTGGGCCACAATTATTTTCCAGATATAATTCTGAGTGTTGTGGGAGCCAAAGGAGACCTTCTGCCTGCTCTACCCTGTTAAAAACCAGAAAGGGCAAGTTGTCATTTCTATCAATCTGGATTGTGGTATTGACCTCATTTGAGAAAAGGGGTAAATGCTGCTTTCATGTTGCAGGTGACAATTTGCAAACTCCCCAGTGAGAGGGGAGATCACTGACCCTTTAGAGAGTCATCTCCAACTTCTCACAGTCCCTACATCAGCACTTTGTACAGAGAAGCTTTCTTTCTCATCTCTTTCTGGCTTCAAAGTTGGCAACACAGAGCTGGAGCAAAAAGCTGCCTGATCCTTGCTGGGTCTCACTGCCAATTCCTAAGGCCTTCTGGAGTTAATAGGTGCAGGCCCTGGATTTTCTAAGGTCACCAACTCCAGCTCCTGTGACTTCCAGGAGAATGGATACTGTCCGTGGTGCTGATTACTATGGCCAGAAATCCTGGGGGTCCGTTTTTTTTTTTTTTACTGGAGATAGTCAAGCTGGGTCACTACACATTTCCCACTCTGCGATTTCTCTACCTAATCCTAGCTTAGGCAGCAGCCCCAATGCACTTCTTCCATATGCAGGTGCAGAGTCAGGAAGGGGGTGTTCCCTTGTGTTTGGAACAACCAATCAATGGATTATAGCATTTTAAGCTGAGGATGGGCTGTGGCTCAAACCTCAAACCTGACCAGCATTCTGCCTAGCCCTAATGTAGGTACTGAATGCAATCTGACTCCCAGGTTCTTCTCCACAAGCAAAACAAGGTGCAGAGCTGTCTACATTGCCATTTGTTGTTTGTATATGACCAAGAAGGACAAAGAATACACACCCACGGATATATTTTTTAAAAATCTCTGGCAAGATACATAAGAATTTAAAAGCAGTTGCTGCCTGCCTGTGGGCTAGGGAAATGGACGACTGGTGTGTGTGTGTGTGTGTGTGTGTGTGTGTGTGTGTGTGTGTGTGTGTAAATGGACGACTGGTGTGTGTGTGTGTGTAGGCAGGGGTAGCTCTTTACATCCTCTTAAGCTTCTTGAATTTTGAACTGTGGAGGTATATTTATGGTTCAAAGAATTAAATTGTATGAGAGGGGAAAAGTGCAGTGGGATAATTTCTCAAGGCTGTGAGTTGAGGGGGCTGGGTTGGAGCCACCCTGTCTGACTGAAAGCCCCAGGCCCCAGGTTGGGGCTCAGACACAAGAAGACACATGACCTTTCTGTAGCTTTTTCACCATTGCCAGCAAATCTTCAGTCTTCTTCAAAGACTTGTCCTGCCCTGTGAAGATGAAAACCAAAATTACAGGACCCAGTGAGAATGAAAGGGGACTGATGAAAGGTCCAGACCTATCTGGGAGGAGAGGAAGAAAGTCCCAGCGGGCTCTGTGTACACCCCTGGGCTGGAGCCAAGGATGGCCTGAGGGAAGGTTTCCAGGCAGAGCAGCACCCCTGCAGGACCCCTGTTTCTTGTCCCTGAGGCTCATGGTATGTGCTGGATGAATAAGGACAAAGGACACCACAACATCCTCTTAATGAAACTCAGGAGGGAGAGAAAGGGATGTAGTTTTGCTGCTGCTGCTATTCAAGACCATTATGAAGTTCTAACTAAGGCAACAGGACAGAAAGGTTTTACATGAATTTCTTTAAAATCATTACAGCTCATAGTTTGCAAATTTTTAATGAAGTGATGGATCTAGACAATGGTTATTCATGACTGCTAACATCAGAAAAGGACAACCAGATATCTATGAGACTTTTCACAGAAGGACTCAACACTGCCCATAAAGGATTTTTGCCCCCAACACCCCTCAAAAAAAAAAACAAAACAAAAACCCAAGCCACAAAAAACAAACAACTCCCCCCCCACACACACACACAAGGGATTTTATCAGGCTTCCTTATCTACATACTAATTCAGAGGAAATAGGAAGGGCAGAGGAACATGTTGAATGATACCATTGAGGATGTAATCAACAACATGCAGACATGCAGACTGTGGGAAATTACACAGGAAAACGGAATATCTTCAATAAATAAATTACAAAGAAGAAAAAGAGGGAGAGGAAAAACCCTACAGATTAAGAGACTTTAGGTATATATCAATCAATCACAATGGACAGACCTCATCTGAATCCTGATTCAAACAAACACACTTTCACTATACATACTTCTATATGTATTTTATCATAAGCCTGTGTTACTTTTGTAAAACACCAGAGAATATTAATATCCTAAAAACATCTTAAACTCTTAAAATCAATAAGAAAAGTTCAAATCCCAGCAACCTACTCCTCCCCAAGGAAAACTGAGCAGAGAGAGAGAAAGGCAGCTCACAAAACACATACATGATAGCAAAAAAGTAAATGAAGAAATGCCATAGTATGCAGTGAAAACTGCTTCTCCCTCACATCTTTTTGTCTGGTCTGACATCTTTTATAAAGTAGTATGCATTAGTGTAATCTTCCATTTTAAGTTTTTAAGTTACTTAAGTAAATAATAAACAAATATGGAAGAACATGAAGTAAAAAGTAAAACTCTTTCCTCACCAACAGCCCCTTTTCCAAGTCACTCCCCTTCCCAGAAGTAACTACTGCCAGCAGTTTGGTGGTAAGAATGGGACTTTTTAGTATAATGTATTTCACGTCTTCTTGCTGTAATTTTCACTTTCTTAACCAAATAACGTTCTAATAAAATTCAAACACTACAGAAATACACGAAGTTGAAAATTTCTTGTTAGCTCTAATTCTCACTGCCTTTCCCAAATATAATCACCATTAACAGGTTGGTAGGTCTCCTCCTGAGACTTTTTAATTTTAAAATTATTCTTAATATTTGGAAATGAAACAAAAAAATTAAAGCTACTTTAAGTAGAAGTATCAATGATTATTTAAAAAATATTTTATAATAAAAAATTTCAAATGCATGTGAGAGTAAAGAGGATACTATAATGAACTCTGATGTACTCATCACCCATATGTAACAATCATTAATATCACTCATATTTGCTGTTTTTCCTGTATTGAAGTGTTTTCAAGTAAGCCCCAGCCGTCTTGACATTTCATTCCCAGATACTTAATTAAGCATCTCAACTACTTAAGAACTTTTTCTTAGATGGCCCCAATCCTATAATCACATATGACAAGATTAATAATCATCACGTGATATCATCTAACTCAGACCATATGTCATTTTCCCTGATTGTCCCCACATGTCTTTTACAGCTGGATTTTGCAACCATTTCTACAAAAGCTCCACCTGTGTTTTTCACTGCTTATTCTTCACTGTTTTTCTAGTGCTAGTCATGAGTTAAGGCCAAAAGTGGATTATAACTAAATTTTTAAATAATCCAACTAACCTCTTGATCATTTCTTTTAAAATTGTATGTTACAAAAGAAAACAGCTTAGAGAGTATGAGCCTCCTTTTAAACATTTTATTTTGAAATAATTTCTGATGTACACAAAAGTTGTACAAAGAGGCCACAGGGCTCCCATTTGCCCTTGTTATCAGATTCCCCATTTGTGAGTGTTGCTGAACTATAAGCTGCAGACATCATGGCCCATTACTCCTTAATATTCCAGTGCATATTTCTTTTACACAAAGGGAATCTACCAGGTAACTGCAGTATAACTATCAAAACTTGGATGTTAATATTGATCCAATATTAATATGATTCTCAGACGCCATTC